CTTCAATCCAAGAATTGCTTCATGACAATACAAACAGATAAAAATGACAAAAATATGAAACTTTTTGGCTTCAACCAATCAATACATAAAATAATACATGCCATATTGATAAGTGTCTGAAATTGTCTGAAAAATATGAGAAGTTAAATGTTTCTCAGAAATGATAAGCAAGAATCACTCATTCTCCTTACTGATGATTTTGTTTCCAGTTGTAATTTGGAGATAATTACTTAATATATTACAAATGGCAAGTAGAAATTTGGGATATTATATCTGTTTTATTATAGAGGGAATTCCCAGTATAGAAATATTATATGATACAACAAAAAGTGCTCCTTTCGTTTTGATTGAACAATATATAATAAGAACAAATACCAAAGCTTCATGCACTATCTATGTTTAACCTCTCTTAACTTACTTACTTACAAACAACTTGGGGAAAGTATGGGGTTTTTTCGGGGTTTTTTTAACAGCTCACCAACAATTTAAGATCACATGGCGCCGAAACAGGAAAGATTAATCGGGCTTACCTCAGGTGTTACAAAGTTAAAGCAACACCAGGGGTCAAAACCACCTTACCTGCTGGAGCTAAGAGATGCTTAGACTCCAGTAAATTCAAACCCCCATTAAGTTGCCTCTTAGGATCATGCAAAGATAAATGGTGGCTGCAATTCTGATACCTCAACCCTTAACCAAAACGGTAACAGCTTCATTTAGTCACCTCTTATGATCATGCATGGATAAACTGTGCCTGCAATTCTGATGCCTCAACCCATAACGGCAACCTCTTCAGCTACAAAATGGCTGAAGAAGTAAAGGGAGGTGGGGGGGGGGGACATTTTGCAAACAAAAAAAAACAAAAAAAAACCACGCACATCTATTACAAGTGCTATATAAATAGTGGCATACAATACAGGAAGAAATGAAATCTAAAGCATGTATACTGTCAGATTAAATCAAACATTTTGTTTCCTTGTCACTCATGTTTATCTCTAACTTATGAAGTTACAGATTTTAAGTCAGATAACTGTAAACAAACATTATATTATGTATAAATAATAGCCAATCTGCAAGGGTTGTAATTCTCTTATTATTCTTTAACAAACTTTCCAGCCTATTTATAAAGTTTCAGATAATTCATCAAAGTAATAAGAGAAAATATATCTATATATGGTGTTCATTATAATGTCAAACAACTAAACATCGTATCTATCTTTCCAGAGCCTTAAATAAATCCTACAATAATTACAGAAGTGTAACCATACACTAGAGAAAAAATCTACATCATCTTTTATCAACCTCTTAATATTCCACTTCCTAGACTACTGAACATCCATGTTAATTCAGCCCTGAGTTGAGAGGCAAACACCTTAACAAATAGACTACTGCACATTGTAAAGGTACAATATGAAGTATTCAATGAAGTTTATTTATTTTCAAGTTTCATAGTGATATACACATATGAATCCTCATGTGCAATTTTTTATCTAATGGACGATATTTTAGCTACGATATGTCAAAATATAGCAACCTCGAAAATGATGGAGTATAGTAAAGTAGACAATCAGACAAGCAATAAAATAATGTTTTCTAACCCCTAACCACCCTTTTTTATGGTTGTATATTATTTACATCACACCAACACAGTATAGGTCAAAACCACTAGTCCACTACCATGCTGGAGTTTCAGGTTATTAGTCTTAAGCATCAGTAAAGATCTGGGCTAGCCCGACAATCTGTATAGTCTGACCAGGCTATGACTAAACAATTTTTTTTTTCTTAATTGGTATCCAAAAAATTGGCAGTTCCAAAAATGGTAGGAATGGGCAAGTCCATTTAAGAAATTTGGCAGATCAGGGGTTAACATCTAAATATCCCTAACTCGAACTCCTACATGCACAGAAAAATGAATTTCACAAACATTTTTTGTATCATTTGACTTGTATTTGCAAAGGTCATATTTGAATTATACAACATAAGGATTCTTTTGAACAAGTATAAATCAAATCTATACATAAATAACAAAGACATGGCTAACAAGTTTTTTTAAGTGAAATTCACTAATTTGACCTTATGTGTCAGGGTTATATTTAGGTTAAGGTCAAGTTCATTCTAATGTCCCAAAGATTGTTTTGCCCCAAGTTTGTAGACAATCCATTTACTGCTTACAAAGTTATAGCCAATTAAAGCAAAAATAAAACTCGGTAATTACAATAATTTGAGCAAAAAGGTCAAGGTCATTTATGAGTGAAGGTTAAACTAAGTTTGATCTCCCTTAGGACACTGTCATTAAGGTAATTGTATTCATGTACAACTTAGACAATTCATTCATTAATAACAAAGTTAAAGTGATTGTAGCAAACATCAAGCAAAAATCAATAATTTGACCTTCAATGTCAAGGTCATTGAAGAGTGGAGGTTATTATCAATTTGGTCTACTTGAGGGTCTTGTCTAAAGGATTGTTGAGTTTAATTTTATAAATACTAACAAAATTAACACAATTTTAGCAAAAATCAAGGAAAATGCAAACATTTGACTTTGAAGGTCAAAGTCTTTTAAAAGTAAAGGTCAAGTTCAGTCTGGCCAATTTGAAGGTCTTATCAAACCGGATGTTGTGTCAAAGTATGAAAAAAATCCATTTGTAATTAACAAATTACGGCTAATCATAGCAAAATTCAAGTTAAGCTCAGTCCCAGGTCAACATGAAGGTCTTGTCTAAATTATGGGCTCTTGTGTCAAAAAATGAAGGCAATCCCTTGAGAAATAGAAATATTATGACCAACGTCAAAGTATTTTGATGGCAACAGCAATGACACCATGACAGTGACAAAACCTCTTTTTTTCTTTGAAAAAGTCGAGCTAATAAGGAGTGCTAGGCTTTCCTATAAAATGGAGGATCTTACTAAATTACAACAAGGGTGCCATAGTCACAAAATACGCCCGTTTACGAAAAAGCTTTAGATGGAGATGGGGGCATTATGGATAAGTGTTATCTAGCAAGCAAGTTTTTATTCTTTGCACTGTGTTGTTAAATGAACCTTAAAACAAATCAATAGGGAAGATATGCACAGAATGTGTGACCTTGACCTTGGTTGCAGGGACCTGAATTTTATGCACGGCACTCAGCCTCACAATGATGAACATTTGTGCCAAATTATATTGAAATCCCTCTATGCATGTAGAAGTTTTGCTCCAGACAAGTGTTTTTCTATGAGCTCTAACTGTGACCTTCACCTTTGACCTAGAGACTTGGTTTATGTGCAGGGCACTACGTCTCATGGTGGTGAACAATTCTATAAAAGTAACATTAAAATTCCTCCATGCATGTAGAAAATATGCTCCGGACAACATCTGGATATTTAATCATCTCCAGTGACCTTGACCTTGCAAATATTAACCTAAATTAAATGTGTAACACCTGTAGTCATGATAGTTACCATTTGTGCTACAATCCATCAATAAATGATGACTCAATGGTCCCTATAACCATCTTTAAATTTTTATCTGAACTTTGACCTCTAAGTGTAACCTTGACTTTGGTCGCAGGGATTTGAATTTTGCATGCGACACTCAGCCTCACAATGGTGAACATTTGTGCCAAGTTATATTGAAAACCCCTATGAATGTAGAAGTTTTGCTCCGGACAAGCGTTTTTCAATGAGCTCTAAGTGTGACCTTGACCTTTGACCTGGAGACCTGGATCATGCATGGAGCAATACATATCATGGTGGTGAACATTTCCATAAAGTATTATAAAAATTCTTCCATACATGTATGAGATATGCTCCAGACAAAATCTGGATATTTCACCATCTTTAGTGACCTTGACCTTGCATATATTGACCTAAAGTACATGTGTCACAGCCGTAGTCATTATAATGACCATTTGTGTTACAATCCCTCAATAAATGATGATTAAATCGTCCTATACACATCTTCATATTTTTATCTTTTTTTAAACGGGCGTATAAAAAGTACATGTAATTTAATAACTAAAAAAATTCTGATTTAAGATTTTATTCTAGGGAAATACATTTCATTACAATTCTTAATCTTTGAATGAGCTGAAACTGATATTTACTTGAAAATTAAAATATAATTAAATTTCTATGAGAAAGTATTTACATTTGATAAGGTAATTACTGTATGATCTTTATGAACAAAATACCAAGTCTACAGAACACCATAGTTATCACAGTTAAGAATCTTGACCAATGAATGAAACATGTGTTAATAAATGTTACATTCTTTACAACATACTCAAGTCCAAGAAAGAGGATTATTTCATGCCCTTTGATTAAATTCTATTTTTTAGATCAAGGGGAGTAATTGTGTAAGTCATTTATGAACAAAGTAATAACTTTGTTGTCTCCCTTTGATTAAATTCTATTTACAAAATCTGGATATTTCATCATCTTTAGTGACCTTGACCTTGTATATATTGACCTAAATTATATGTATCACAGCCATAGTCTTGATAATGACCATTTGTGTTACAATCCCTCAATTAATGATGACTAAATGGTCCATATACACATCTTCATATTTTTATCTGAACTTTGACCTCTATGTGTGACCTTGACCTTGGCCGCAAGGACCTGAATCTTGCACGCGACACTCCGCCTCACAATGGTGAACATTTGTGCCAAGTAATATTGAAATCCCTCTATACATGTGGAAGTTTTGCTCCGGACAAGCATTTTTCAATGAGCTCTAAGTGTGACCTTGACCTTTGACCTAGAGACCTGGTTCATGTGCGCGACACTGCTCCTCATAGTGGTGAACATTTATATGAAGTTTCATTAAAATCCCTCCATACATGTAGGAGATATGCTCCGGACAAAATTGGACGCCGCCCCCGCCCGCCGCCCGCCGCCGACCGCCCGCCCGCCCGCCAGGGGCGTTCCCATAATACGTCCCGTTTTTCAAACGGGCGTATAAAAATTACAAGGTATTTACTGAAAAAAATATTTCAAAATATTTATTTTCTGCATCTTACCGTATCAGTTATTTCAACAACATGATCAGATGTTTTGTTTTGTGACAAGATAACTTTGTTCATCATTTCTTTCTTATATATCAATGGAAGTGGCATCGAATGTCTTTTACTTTCATTTTGAATTAACGTCCTTTCGCGCAGACCTGGGTAAGAGGACTGCCGGAATGCCGGATTTTTTTCTGGTATTTCTTGTTGTAAATTACTTTTTGCTGCACATTCCTTTTCTGAGACTTGACATCTATCATTTTGAGGTTCACAACTTCTTCTCTTACAATTATTATTAGTCTTTCTTGGCACACCAGCAATTGACCTTCTCTGACATTCACTGGGAATGCCAGACCCTGCTTCCTCTGCTAAACTACTCAAAGAATATCGCTGAGTGTCATTAAATGTTCCTGAAACCCTTTTACGGCAGTTATTGCTAGAATTTGTTAATTTAGTATGTCTTTTACAATTACTCAACATCGGCTGCTTTGACATTTCATCACTTTTGTTGTCATTGTGGTCTATATAGGAAACAGATCTACGGAATCCGTTCCCAGGACTGTTTACAGAGCTGGATCCCGATAACCCTGAAAACTCACTTACGGGTCTGATATTTGCATAAGATGAAGTCCTTAATATTTCAGGTTGTAACGATTTTGCTGAAAATGACAATGACCGCAAAAAACCTTTGCTTCCTGATTCAGTAATTTTGTTAACTTCCTCTGTTAGACCATGTACACTGTTCCAACATGACAGCATTGCCGACTCATTCCAAGATAAACTATCTGGTGAGCCCGGGGACGAAATGTCACTACCAGGTGATTCACAACGAATGCTGTTTATATTTTCTGAGGTACTCCCAAAATAAAATTTCACTGGTTTCTCTACATCAACCTCACGTCTTTGTCTTATTTGTATATTTTCCATTTTTTTATATATTGTAAAAATTTTAACTTTTATTAATTTTATTCATTAAAACAAGTCCATCTTATCATTATAAACATATTTATCAAAAGATATACATTCACGCCAACTTCAATCCAAAATGAAAATGCAGGTTTTTTTTATTGATAATGTTAACCATTATTCATATCACAAGGTGTATAAAACTTCTTATCCTAGCTGAGCTCTTATAAGGAAGTTTCTCTACCCATTTATAACAAAGGAGTGCAACAAAATACAAAATACTTATTCAAACAAAAACAAAAGAAATCTTGACTTTTTAGTAAATACATAGATAGAATAGCACTGTGACAGTTGTTAAATGAATAAGTAAAGTACGTATATAATGCTGCAACAAATTTTTAACCCGGGTTCCAAAACAAAATTTCTACTCTTATAAACCAGATTTCCTGAACAATTTTAAACAATTAAGTACTATTTCGTTTAATTGTATTTGAATTCTTACAATATATACCGAAAGTCATTATCTGCACACTTGAGATGCTACGGAAAGATTGTTGTACTCTCTTTGTTCAATACCAGTAGACAAAAACAACTCCTGGTTCCGCGGGTTATCAAGAAATTCTCCATGTCAAACTCAGATCTCAGGTATTTGATTGGTCAGAAACTCCCACAGAATGTACATTGACCAATGAAAATCCTGAGATTTAAGGTAAGATTTAAGGTAAGACTCAAAGCCAGATAGGGATTCTTTACGTAGTATAACTTAACAATATATAATTTAAATTTAGAATAAAAAATAAAAATAACATACCTAATCAATCCAAACAAAACTATTTATGTACAATATTTAGACATGTACTGTTACAAGAATTGGAAGATTACCAAAGATTTATACCATACAATTTAGATAGGATTTTATTGTATATATAATGACCTTATAAAATATTGATATGCAGTAAGGCTGCAGTGTAAACAAGGGCCCAGAACTTTCAACAATAATCTCTATAATCATCATAAATGTGACATTAATAAGTTATCATTCATTATATAGTCAATAGTTACCGTAAAATTCCTATTAAATGCCCCCGGGGGCTAAACATTTTCCAAAAGGGGGGCTATAATTACAACACGTTTTTCCTAAATCCAAAAATCATTGAAAATACATTTAGTGTAACATGGGTTGGTAATAACATTAAAATGTGTTAAGATTTTAAAGTTTATGTGATACATTTTTGTGTTTACTATGAAATAAAATGGATTCTGAAGGATTTGAATAAGATTTAGGATTTATTTAAGAGTTCACCGAGCGGTGAGCAGATTTTTTTAGGGGAGGGGCGTTTATTAGGAATTTTACGGTAACTGTGTTACAGTAGCCAACAAAGTAGGAGATTGCTGAAGTCAGGATGACTTCTACTATTTTTGTTGTTGTTGCTGCTGTTGTTGTAAGGGTCTAATTATACTGTACATGATAATGGTGACATTCCAGCTCAAATGCTGGTGACATCATACATTTATAAGTAGCATATTCCCCAAGCACATGTTCATTGGTAGAAACCCACCCCCTCAATTAAGATAATCTTACTATGTTCTAGACAAGTGTTTAAAAAAAATCTATCCTTTTCAGCCACTGCATAGTTATGTTTTATTTATATATATAATAATGTGGCCTTTATTCAAAGGTGGTTATAAGCTGATGTGTGTCTGTATTAATGTATATCTGCAAGTCGGTCTATAGTTTGGTGTAAAACAGTCTTTATTTAAAGGAGGTCATTAGCTAATGTGCAACTGTATTAATGTATATCTGCAATACAAGAGCTTGGTGTTAATTCTGTACTGGTACTTCATAGTATTACGAGTTAAAACATCTTTGCATTAACCACCGCCTTTACAATAACTGATTTGTTTTATGTTTAAATGGACATCTATTATTGCCTGCTTTACAAATTTAATTCTTTACCTTTAGATATAAATGTACATGTATAAACCATTATGTAAAAGGAAGAAATGATTATTACAATAAGATAAGAAAGTGCAAAACATTTTCATCCTTGTTTTTGTGAACTATGATATATCGTCTTCAGCCTACTGTTAAGCCAACTTGAATATTATCAGTACAAAAGAGGTCTGTGTCAATCAAGAAAATCATTAAGACATTTTGATGTATTTAAAAAGTTTAACTTTTTCACACCAAGGTATAAATTTACAAATTTCCGTAACTCTGTGCCTGCTTTTACTTTATTTTGGAAAATGACTTTCAGAATTGTTGAAAATTTGCTGTTGCCTTATTTTTTAAAATAATTATAGTGCATTATTTTGTGTTTATGTTCATGCACTTGAAGCATGCACAAAACAACCATTTAGCCCTCTGAAGTTAATCAATGTCTCCCTTATGTCCCCAGTATTGTGCCAAGCTTGATTCAGTCAAACTGGACTCTATGTTGTTAGCTGGTTCATTGTCTTACAAATTAAAAGTGATACGGATAAAAGGTATTAATTTAAACAGATTTAAATAGTCTATTTCTCTAAATTCAGATTTATTTAAGTTAAGGTATTTATAAATATTTCTGAAAAGAAACTAAACATCCTCTTTGACAGGCTGTTAAATCCCTGTGTAACCACAGGTCAAATGTTTATTTTCCCTAAAATTGTAACATTTCTCAAACTGGGCTAGATACTGGAAAAGGTCTGTTTGAAAACAGATTAAAATTGTTTTTACTTTGATGGATGATAAGACTTTCTTTAAATCACTCTTGAGGCAACTTCCTGGGACAGGGTAACCCCAAGTAAGGAACACAGACAATCCATTAGCTACATGTAGTAAGATAGCTTTTTCACATGATAGAATTCAAAATCACTATGACCTTTGACCTACTGACCTAAAAATCAATAGTAGTCATGTACTGGCCATGATCAACCTTCACTTGGAGACCAAAGCATTCTTTAGTGATTAGTCAAGGTCAAGACCATGGTAACCTTGAACTTTGACCTCTAAATCAAAAGGGATAGATATCTACTAGTCATAACCAACCACAACAGTTAAACTAGGACTTAGGCCAAGCCGCCAAAGCATTCACTAGTGTTGATTGTACAAGCTTATAGCAGTCAACTGACAAGGCTGTGGTGACCTTGACCTTTGACCTTAAACTTCAGTAAGGATCACTTACTGGCCATGTGCAATGTCCCTATCAAGTCACATAACCAGGGCTAATACCTTCTCAGTCACTGAATAAGTGAGAAGTAGTTAAAACAATTTTTTATAAGTTTAATCTACAATACTGAAGAAATTTAACTTTGAACAAAATACATAATTATGGCGAAGAAAGTAAATATCATACAACTTTTAGTAAGATGTAGTTAATCACTTCCAGTATACTTTATTTTAAGCTATATCTATTTTTCAATATTTTAACTTTAAAATATTGACTTGACTTGATACTTTTTAGGTAACACAAACCAAAAAGTTAGGAATTTTTAGGTAACACAAACCAAAAAGTCAGGACTTTTTAGGTAACACAAACCAAAAAGTTAGGATTTAGTAATTTTATAATGTAAAATCTTTATCTTTGTCTAGTCTTTACAATTTAATCATCCTCCAAATTTTAAATATGATCACACTCATATTAATGTGAACCTTTATAACGTGTGCTTCTGAAGAGGCCTTATGTAAATTAAATGTAAGTATGGAAAAAAAAATAAAAAAATAAAAATTTATAAAAAAATAAAGAACAAAATAATCTGGAAAAAAATACAACAGATCTGATATAAACTTTTATAAACTATTTGCCTTTGTAAACACTATATTATTATTCTGCATCAGCATAATTATATTATGCTGTTTTATCACCTTTTCTTTATGGCAATAAGAAATAATTAGCCTAATTTCTATACAAATTTCAGCTCAGAAATTTGTTGCATATATGTACATGTAAGCTGAAACAGAGCCTAATTTCAGATATAAATATATATACCCTTTATATAACCTTTGCTAGTACTTTCTATGCAAGAGATCATATATCTATGAATATAAAACTCTTCCTTGTAGAGAGTCACATAATCAGAGGCAAGTTTCAAAGGGAGATGAAGATGTAGGAAAGTCAATAAGTGAGGGGGCGCTCACTTCTCCTTCTTAATTGTCTCTCCAACATTGATTAAAACAGCTTTAACAATCACATAATGCTCTAGCAATAATAGCAACACTGGGGATAATTGAAACCACTTAGTATCAATAAAACACTATTCAAAATAAGCTAAATTGTGTTGCACAGGCAAGCTTTATCAGCTTATAGAATATTCTAAACAAGTGATATATATTTATATACAGTAAAAATTACACAATATTTGTTTGACACATTCAGTAGATTGACATGGCATTAGGAAATCTCTCCATGTTCAAAACATGTTTCAGAAGACAATACAATACAAAATGAGACCAAAGTCAAAATGGTTAAAATACCCTACCTGACAATGCTTTTTTCAACAAAAAAGATTGAAACTGTATTTTGAACCAAAAACACCTGAAGTTCCCTTTCAGTAAGAGGCTGAAAGAGCCTTATAATGCATAATGTACAAAGCCATATGTAAAAGGTGAGCCACTTTAATAACTCAATTAATTGTCTGATTCCTACAGAGAGCATATGACAAATAAAAATGCTGTTAAAGTGTGATTTATATAAAATGCTTAAAAGAACTAACATCACTTTATACATGTAAATGTATTGCAATAAGCAAAATATAACAAGAGCTGTGACCTGTCGGTAGGACAGCATGCTCGACTATTCTAAGTGTTTGATATTAAAAGAGCCTTGATAATGTAACATTTTCTAAATTAACAAAAGGGCCAAATTTTTCTTTAAATCCATGTTATGGCTATAGGTCTTCGGGAGAGTCCTATTATGCTCTCAAAGAAGTGCATAAAATTTCAACTTGTTTCAAAGCGAGATGTCAATGGAATAGGAAAATATCTGAGGTGGTATGCAACTTGAACGTAAATTCTTAGTCAGTATCAATTAGCATTATTATACTCACCCTTGTGACAATTTTTGAATAGTCAAGCCAATACTGACTATCCAAAAAATTTTTATTGAGTATAATAATGCTAATTACCTATGACTACATAAAATTGACTGAAAAAGGTACAAAGGCTTGTTATTAAGGTGTTTTATCAAGTAAATCACTGCTTTATTATTATGAATGCATAAAATTGTCCCAAAAAAGGCACAAACTCTTCAGTAGTTATGGAGATAACAGCTTACAAGCAAAACTTTTCCATGAATTTATAAGTTGAAAAAGGGGAGAAAAATCAGCCTAAATGCAAGATAGAATTATGGATCTTGGTCAGT